CATAAAAAATAAATCATATTCATACTTATTGCTCAGTCATCTACTAGTAAGTTTTTTAGATTCCCCCAAGCCAAATTAATCTCTCCTCACGCATTCAATAATTTTCTCTGTATCTTCATATCACTTAACAAGAAAGCCTGCCTTATTTTTGTAAAGAGTTAAAAGCCTAGATTCTAGGTAGACTGCCTGGGTAAGAATTCTGGCCCATCTCCTTACTAACTGAGTAACTATTAAGTTATATAAGTTCTCTGTGTCTGTTTTCTCATCTGCAAAAGAATAATAGTACCTCGTAGGATTGAGGATTCAATGAGTTAATATATGGAAAGTAGGTCCTGGCCCCTACTTAGCACTTAGACAACATCCTACCCATATTTATACTCCCCTCATTTCCCAGAAGTGGCTCACACATAGCAAATGATTAAGGGATGTTTACTGAACTAAACTGACTTGCTACGAGGGAATTCAAAGAGGGGTGAGGATGACAAAAAGGAGTTATCTCCAAATTAAATTTACAGTACACTCTTCACCACTGCAACCTGTGCTTTTATTAACTGACAAATAGACTAAGTAGAAGAGAAAAAAATGAATTAGATTGAATGAGTGGGAAAAGGTGAAAACCATTCTGGGCCATAACTGACTTTTCCCGTAATCCCTACTCTTTCCCCTACCTGCGGCTGTCACCTGAAACATCTTGTCTGCTTCTTCAACCACAGAAGTTAAAGTCTGAAACCAGTTGAAGTTTCTCTCTGTACCAGCAAGAAAAAGAGGTTATCTTCTGGTCTGAGAATATAATCTTTTGGGTGACAGGAGTCATGTAAGCCTTCTGGGAAAGGCTTTGTTAAACTTTTTGACAGTTCCTAAGATAAATGTCAAAATTGCTATCCTTACCCTTTCTAAAGTGGGCAGACCCACCACCCCTGCTTGCTGGGATAACTGGCTTTTCTCCATGAACCTCTTCATGAGGAAACAGTGGGGAAAGGTCAAAGAATCGGGCTACCCAAGTCTGGCCGTAGCTTCTTCATAACACCTTTACACCCTAAATATTATTCTCCCTCCTTGTAAATCCGATAGTCCTTTGTACTTACCTTAGCTTGCCCTGACATACAGCCTATGGTTTACTTGTAATTTTCCCACATAAACTGTGTAATCACATTACCCTCAGTGGCTTTGTAGAGGGTAGGCATGAAAATCAGTGTGCTATTCCTGTATTGTAGACAGGCAGTATAACATCGTGCTTTGGGATTAAACCAGATCTGGGTTCAAACCCCAGCTCAATGACTTAGCCATGTGACAAATGAGTTGCTTTACTTATGCCTCAGTTTCTTCATCTATAGATTGGAAATTAGTTCTTTAAAGGGTGATAATGAGATTAAACAAGGTCAAGTATACAATGTGCTGAGTGTGGTGCCCAGAACTGTGCACTTAATAAATGGAAGTATGTGGTGATAGGCAGAGGACTTTGTGAATGAGATTTAAATTAGACCCTCCAGCTCATGTTAGCTGGACATCGGCTCATGTTAGCAATCCTCAGGTCTTGTCACCTATTAAGACTGTCTTAGTGTGTGCTTCAAAAAGTGCAGTACATCCAGGTTTTTTACAGTAAGAGGATGAAGTATGGGATAAAGAAAAGAAGATGTTGAAGCAAAATATTTTCTGATACATCATTCAAACACAAATATTTTACAAAACAAATATCCCATTACAATAATTCTAGAGGCACTGTTTTAGATTATCAGGACATTAACTTGGGCTTACAATACTATCACAAAAGGGCAGGTAATTTGCATTTGCAATAATGCAAATGAACTTGTTCCTACTGCAGGATGAAAATCTACATTCAAAATCAATACGTTGTTAGGAAAAACAATCAAACAAGAATAAAAGCCTTGCTGAAGGAAAGACCTAATAAATGCATATACCGTACTGTATGTATTGTTAAGATGCGAATTCTCCCCAAATCATAATGTTAATATATTTATGTAAATCCAATTAAAATTCCAACAGAATTTTTTTAAAGAAAAATCAAACTTAATAGGTACTAAACTTCATCTTAAATAGTAAGTGTCCTAGAATAGCCACCTCACACAAAAACAAAATACAATAGGGCAGCTTCCCTATCAGGTACCAAAATAAAGCATCCAGCTATTATGATTAATGCAGTGGGGTATTGGTGCAGGAAGTTAGTGCTTATAAAGTATCAGGAGGTATAACATCCAAGTGGGCAGCTTCCCTATCAGGTACCAAAATAAAGCATCCAGCTATTATGATTAATGCAGTGGGGCATTGGTGCAGGAAGTTAGTGCTTATAAAGCATCAGGAGGTATAATATCCAAGCACTTTAAAGTAGACTATTACCAATACAACCACTCACGTATAGTCTTCCCCATTTCTCAGATGATGAAGCTGAGGTGTGGAAAAGTTAAGCAACTTGTCCAAGATTACACAGGATCAAGGCGGGGTTCTGAACCCAGCTGACTTCAGACATCTCACAGGAAATATATTAATATCCATTATCTACAGAGTTCCTACAAATCATTTTTTTAAAATCCCTAAACAACCTGGTTTAAAAATGGACAAAGGATATAACATGGAATTAGATTATGCAAATAGCTAATATATGAGAGGTCTTCAAAAAGTTCATGGATTCATATTAATTCTATTTTTCCATGAACTTTTTGAAGTACCCTTGTATATACCATTAAATGATAAACAATTAAAGGGGAAAAAAGGCAAGTCACAGAATACATAGGCTTTTTTAACCTGTTTGTATACATGTATATACTTGTATATATTAAGAAGTTCAACCTCACAAGTACTTATTATTAGAGTTGATAACCAGGAATAGAGAATGCTAAGAAATGGGTATTCATACACATAGAAAGAAATGTACACTTATATAGCATCCTGGGAAGGCAATCTGACATTAAAACAAAGTTTATATGACTTTTTAGCAATCCCTCTTCCAGAACCAATCCCAAAGAAATATTAAACATGAGCACAAAAAGTAATGTACAAGGATACTCACTGCAAATTTTCTGTAAAACTGAAAGAGTGGAAAGAACCTAGGTCTATCAACCAGGAATAGTTGGAACAGATCATTGTACATCCATTCTATGGGATAGTACGTAAAAAGTAAATATACACGTACTGACAAGGAAAGATGCTGATGATAAACCATTAGAGGGGAAAAAAAAGCAAGTCACAAAATACATAGTTTTTTTTTCAAACTCATTTGTTAAAGAAAAAAAAGAAGGATCTAAGAGAGAATGATAAAATGTGAGAAAAAGAATATAAAGGAAAAAGAAAAAGGAGAAAAAACAGGAACACATATGTTGAAAGAAGCATTTTTTAAAAAGGGTCTGCAAGGATACACACCAAACAATTAGTGTGGACAATGTGGGGAAGGGAGTGGAACTGGGGCCTAGAAACTGAAGGGGACTTTTGCTTTTCACTCAATGTTCTCCTGTATAACAAAAAATATTGAATGTTTTTGTAATTTTGAGAAGATAAAGCAAGTGACAAAGAACTTATTACAAGTACCTTATGTTCAGTCTTCTCTTTAAAAAAAAGAGCAAGAGGTATAAACCAATGAAGGGAAAACACTAGAAACCAACCAAAGAGAAAAAAAGAGCAATTACAAGGAAATTACATATTAAGAACAACTACTGACATCTATAAGGATTCAAAGCAACTGACACAATAAATTTTATTGTTTCCATAATAATAGGCTCTGAACAAAGTGAAGACAATGAAGACAATGACAACACATTTAAACTCCTATCACAAATTAATATTACAAATTTCCAGTGGTTCAACATATTAAAATGTAAAATATATAAAGAAAAAAACCCAAGAAATATAAATATTCAGATTTTGCAGCACAATGCATGTCCTTTTTCAAAAAAAAAAAGTCTGTTGTAATTGGGTATGTAATTCTGACAGTAACTCAAAATACAAAGTCACATCTTTTCCCTAACCTCCCCCATGATCTGGATCCGGGGATTGTCATAATAGAGAAAATAAAAACAAGTTTAGTGCTCAGAAACAAATTTCTTTATTTTAATGCATCAAGGCGCAAAAATTTCAACTCAAAAAAGCCAGTCACTGTCATACGCAGATAAATAAACATGTATGACAATACTTCTTATAATCAAACCCAACTAACGTTATTCTAAAAATATATGTGCGTATATATGTATGCATATATATGTGTGTGTGTATAATATATATATATATATATATATGTAATACCTATTTTAGAAAAAAAGATGCCTTGGTGAAAATGATTCTGAAAATACTCACTAATGCACATTATGTACAAAACCTTCTATATAAAAAATTAAACTATTTTCAATGAAATTCCATGTTCACATTCCATCTGAAAACTGTACTTGAAAGATAAATAGGTCTACCTAATGGTTTCTCTCTGAAATCATGGCTAAGGCAGTTCTCTTTTCAAGGGTTCTCTTTTTTACCCACTTGATGTCACTAATACTAATAAGGGCAAATATTACACAGATGTGACCTGACATGCCTATACATTATTATCTGGAGCTCTGTTCACTGTTAAAACAGGGGAGTTTATAGTTGCTACAAAGAACATTTTTCTTTCTTAAAATATATTGTCTGTCTATTCCAAATTAAGCACTTACTTAAAAGACATTAAGAGGCTGAGAAGCCACTCCATTTGGTGTCAATATCAATAGCCCTATAAGAAAGAACTCTGTATTGGAATAGCTAGAAAAGTTCTCAATAAAGTAATAGTGCATCCTTCACCTGCATAGAATCAATTTGGCTGAATAGCTCTTTGTCCCCAGAACACCAGTCTGGAGTTCAAATACGATCCTGAAGGTCCATCTCAGATATGAAAAAACATCTCATAGAAGCAATATGAGGATATACAAGATAAAAGTTGTTAAAATCTGTTTGATGAGTTTTACAGAATTTCTCATTTGGAATAACTGCTAAAGGTTAAGAAAGATCCTGAAGGTCCATCTCAGATATGAAAAAACATCTCATAGAAGCAATATGAGGATATACAGGATAAAAGTTGTTAAAATCTGTTTGATGAGTTTTACAGAATTTCTCATTTGGAATAACTGCTAAAGGTTAAGAAAGAAGCAAAAATGGAAAAGACTGGGGGCAATGAAGTTCAGTCAGTCAAATACTGATGCCAGTAACCATTTAGTAAGTCTTTAAGCAAATAAGTGCTTAAACCTGGTACTTCTAGTCATCAGTCTACAAGCACTGAGGATGCAGAGCTTAAAAGGTGAAAAACTGAATACCCTTAGAAAACGAGAACAGTATGAGGCAAAAAGTTGTAGGTCTGTAAATATATTTTCTATATGCACACACAATTGTGTGTATTATTCTGTATATTTACATACATATTACAAGATGCCCTGCAGTGTAATTTAAAAGGCCTTGATTTATCAAGGAACAAACCAATTCTAGTTATAGGCCCTAGAGTTCATACGATCTGTATAAGAAACAAATATGCATATATTCACACAATGTAAACCTTATCAACAAAAACAATGCTATCAACACTAGGTTAAATAGTAGGTTTCAGATTAATGATTTTTTACCACTATTGATCAGTGATGTAATCAGAACATTCCTTACACTGAGAATCAAAATAACAAAAAACACAACTGGGTTTTAAATTCACAAGAAAAAAGATATTCAGTATGGCAAACATGAACAAAGTTCAAATTCCAGAGTAGGGAAAAATATCAAAACTTTATAAATCTCCTGGGAAGCAATTTAATTACTGCATCATTAGAAAAATAGACTCATAGAAGGAACGGTGCTGCTATGGATTCTCTCAACAGATCAACTCATAGGTTTATCTTTTTCCTCTTTTGTTTCCAGCTGGAGGTTTCTTCAACTGAAGGAGTTGTCCTCCTGTTCCAAAACCTGCAGAGGCAGGATTGGACACCCCAAATGTCAAACCAGCTGATGCTGTGATGCCAGGATTGCTGAAGTTAAACCCAGATGTACTTGAGCTGCCAAAGCCTTATGTTTAGGGAAAAAAATATTCACATCAGATGTTAAATCACAAAAACAAATATAAAATGGAGATGAGCAGTAAATTTCTATCTGAAAGAATACATGTATATAAGAATAGCAGATATCTCAGAGTCCTAAATTTCTAAGATGGAATTTCACAGGAAAACAATTTAGTGGCACCTTGAAAGACAGAAGTTTAGTGATGCAGGCCAAAAGAAAAACCTTAGCACAAAAACTAAAATCTACAGAAAATTTGAAGTTGCAGAAACTTTCCTGTTAATTAAATATGTCAAGGTGCCTTCCTCCTCAGCCCCACCAAAAACATTTTATCAACATGCATAGGCGAGACTTCCACAACATCTGGACTCACCCTTGCAACCCCAAATCCTCCAAGAAAGCCTCAATCCACAATGTTCAGCACAATGAACACACCAAAGAGCAGTACTAACTGTTTTGATTCTATAAAAGCCCTTACATAATTAATAATATCAAGTACTATTACTGCTGAGTTAACTAATACAATAGATTATAATCCTGATAACACTAAATTCTATCACTATCTTACTCTATTGGAATTGCTGATTTTAAACACTAGTCAATATCAAGTGGAATTTCCTTTCAATTCCCTAAATTTAAACACATCTTTATAGTAAACTGCCATTATTTTACTCATGCTATTTATTCCTAAGACTTGCACATTAAAATAAGCCATTATTTACAAATACAGAGTAAATATGTAAGAATATGGAATTTGGAATTTTCTACTGTAAAAGTCAAAAGATTATACCTATTTCAAAAATGAACAAGGAACCAAATAATTTTTTGTAAAACTGTAGTATTCTTAAAACCAAAGGGACTTATAACTGAAGAACATCTTTTTGGACTAGAAACTGTTCTCCTGAATGAATAATGATAAAAAAAATGGGTTAAATTTCAAAACAATGTGTTCATTTTTGCAATAATAAATTGTTTAACCATGAAGTTAGTTACTAAGGTTTAAATGAACCTCTACTTAGTAGACAGAGAACACATTTATTAAATCAAACTAAGAAGTCTTGTTAGAAATAATTTACAAGCCTTTAGTTGACAAGACAGACAAAGCCACATGATTGGTTAGGCTTGCATGCTTCACTCAGGGGGTAGAAACTGAATCAGGGGTCTTTTTGGTTTATCAAAAATTACAACACTTGTACTTCTTAAATTAGATAATTTGTATCTTTAAATTTGCCTGAAATTCAGGCAGAAACACACAAACCTGCACTAAGACTTCCTGAGGGTTTATTTGTTGTTCCAAATCCAAATGTGGAGGCCCCTGTGGTGCTGCATCCAAAACCAGAGCTAGTTCCAAATCCTAGTAGAAGGGTAATAGAGAAATATACAACGGTACATAAAACACAGGTTAAAGGATACCAACAAGTAAAACTGAAAATTATCAAAGGTCTAATAAATACAATGTTGAAAAACATGGTTTTATTAAGGAAATCTGCTATTTACTCTCTCAAATAAGACTTTTAGAAGAACCAGATTAATTCTGAAATAAAACTTTTATGTGTTTAGACTAAGTTTACAATCCATCAGTAATTTTGAAACAAGGCCATAAAAACAAAACCATACTAGTATTTTCATTTCCAAATGGTGCTAGAAATTTTACTGACCATTCTAGTATGATTTTAGACAGTTATAAACATACCTACTCTAGAGGTATTTCATTTTGCAAAAAAAAAAGTGGCTAAATTCACAAATAAGCATGACATGCAAAACGATGTAAACAATGTAAAAAAAGGTACCAGAAGGTAATTTTACTCCACTCTTTGCCAAAACATTTTTGGTTGATTAAGAATGTTATCATTAAAAACTCTGCATAACTACGTAGTAGTCAATCATTTTAAATCCACTCAGTAACAGCAGATTCCTGCCATACTGTCAACCAATGTAACAGTGAGAAATTGGGTATGTAGGCATCATGGTTTTCCTCTTAACAATACTATTTTCACAATTTAAAAATATATATATTTTTCATCACAGAAAGCTCATGAAGAGATTGTAAGTATCTGAGGACTAGTTTCCACTATCCAAAAGGCCAGATATTCTACAAACGAAGTTCAAATTCTTTTCAAGTTACTTTGCAATAGCTATCTAAAATACTGAATTTAATAATATCATTGCCTTTAACAAATATGAAGGCAAACTGGACCATAGGAATTATGCTATCTGCCATAATTCTAGCAACTCCTAATATAGAACAGACTCTATATTAAATAACCATAACAGCATATAGGCCTCCCCTCTTATACTTTAGTTGGAAATAAGGGAACCTTATTCATTTTATTATAGTGTGTCAAAATACAACCAACTTTCACTTATCTGTACCAAAGAAATTGTGAATGCATTTGTATTTAGCATGATGTTTTTGTAGAGGACTTATCTTACTAATTAAACTTAGGAAACTATTAAAATAAGCTTAATTGCTTATGTATGCAAGTATGTATACAGATAGAAATGCCAAAACTACTTAGAAATGGAAAGAAGTTGAGCTGTCCAATTTATAGCAAAATTATTTCCCCATTTAAAGTGCTCATTTTCTGGAAAAAGAAGGTAATGATTAGGAGAATGTATATCATTGAGAAGTAGTTTGGACTCCAAACTAATATTAAGATTACTAAATTTTAAAAATTTAATTAAAATAAAATTTATTAGAACAAAGTAATTCTCAAGTTCATATTTCAGCATATTGCTTTGAAAGTATGAATATCTCTACCACTTCATTTTAAAACTTGTTTATATTTACTATTCACAGAAGATGGCATGATTCTTTGAGTTTTAAATCTAATACTATAAAGCAATAATTATGTTTGGAGAATCGTTATTGCCAGATGGATCCTTAATTTCCAAAATAGCAGCAGATCCTCATAGAAATTTTTTACAGTCTAGTATCAATTCAAATGTATAATATAGTTCAATGAAATATTAGAAAAGTTAAAGTGTACCTCCAAGGTTTGAAGAACCTAAGCCACTTGATTGCAAGCCAGTGCCAATACCTGAGCCGAATGGCGTTCCAAAACTAACTCCCAGAGATGGCTGTGGCCCTGGTATAAAAAAAAAAAAAAAAAAAAAATGGGGGGGAAAAGAAACAAATTTGCCTTACTCTTTCAAGATTAAAATTTCTTCATGAAATTATTTTTTAAATGAACAGAGAATACTTTTTAACAAATTCCATTTGTTAAAACTTAGTTTTCAGGATGCCTCTCCAGCCTAATTTATCTGTCCTAACTGATTTACCTATCCCCTCCCCCAATTTTTTAAAAAAATTAACCTGTTCAGAACTAGACAATTAAAAGAGGCTTACCACGATGAAAGACAAATGTTAGTTAAACCTACCAAATATTTTGAAATCTTTAATGTATCATAAATTATTGTTGTTTTAGATTAACTTCTAGAATTATTTTAGATCTCCCACTTATTTTCTGATAAACTAGTTGGTATAATCAGTAAAGGTTTCTTCATTTTTATTTTTTTTTTTAAAAAAGCTCCTTAGTGTTAGAGTCAAGTCTCAATTGATCAAAAAAGACTGACACTAACATGACAAAACTATCATGTTACTTCATAAGAATAAGTACCCAAAAAACTAGGCATGATTTCTTGCATGAAATATAAATGATATATTCAATAAATAGATAAAAAACAAGACAATGTTTTATTTTATTAAATTTATTGTTCAACTTAAAGCAAATCAATTACACAGTAACATGACAATTCCAACTGGTTCACAAAAAGTGGTAATTGAGTTCTATTCTTAAGCTCTGCTACATTACACCACTTATCACCTGATTAAATAAGATAGATAATGAACATTTACAAAGGCACTGCTGTGTACCTTGACAGATTCAATACATTCAAGATTTCAATTCAGAAGTTTCTTTCCAACATTTTGGAAAATGTACTCAGACGCAGAACGATCAGTCATCCTTTTCTCATTTAATACTTTAAAGATTTTGGCTGAGTTTGTTTGGCAAGAATAGCATCAAACTTACTAGCCTCTCTTTTTAACTACTATTTTTTTTTTAACTAAGCAGAATACAAAAATCTAAAAATCTCTCATTTGATAAATAATTTATGAAAATTATTCAATTAAACTTCATAGTACAATCTTCAGTCTTGTCTTTTTCAAGCACAGTGATCAGTGCATCTCAAAGTTGAGGGAACTGCTAAAGTAATATGCACATTAAAATTTAAATTTTTAAAGAAATCAAAGCCTTCAAGTTGTCCAATGAAGAATGAGGTTTGTATGTTCAAAAGGTAGTGTAAAATTATAAAGCTTTTAGAAAAAAAACTGAGGAACTACATTTTGCTACACTGGGACAGAAACTGGACTTTTCAAATAGCTTCTCACCAGAAAATAAAGAATAACAACTAGTAGCAGCCAAAGTTCTTATACTACTATTATAAAAATAAATTTTAAAAGGACTTAAATTTTTACATCCAGTTTGAGATCAATTTGAGAGTAAAATACCTGCGTAGCAGCTCTTTTGTAAAATGTTACTATAGGAAAAAGAAAATAAGCATATTACTTATTTCTAACAAAAATAACATGTACAGGGGCCGAGCCCGTGGCGCACTCGGGAGAGTTTGGCGCTAGGAGCGCAGTGACCCCACACCAAGGGTTGCAATCCCCTTACCGGTCACGAAAAAGACAAAAAAATAAAAAAATAACATGTACAAATCACATGTCCAGTTTCTTTAACATTTAGAGACTTAAGTGTCACATGTTAACAGGAGGCACTGCTGGTGGAAGACCCTAAAGAATAACGCACACCACAGCCCTCAGCCTTGCAAGTCATTAAGAGTTACTCAAATAGCATGCTTTTTGTTGTGTGTGGGTCTATTTTTAAGAGCAATAGAACATGGTTTCTCTAATCAATATTCAGGATATAGGTAATCAAGAACTCATATCTAACGATGACAAGACTTCCCATTGCACAACAGATACGTGATATTTTGAGTTTTGCACCTTCACACAAATTCTGAAGGCAACATCATTTATAAAACTAGTAGGCAAATGTATAACATTTTTAATAGTAAAAACGCATGATAAATATCTCCCATGCCAAAGTATTAACATATATTACACTCTGGCCACCATATATATTAGTTTCACTATTAGAATCTAAATCTTTCAGGCAAAAGTTACGTAAACAATTTAAGAAGTCTGCTTTGAAATCTGAATGATCAATGAGAGGCTCTTAGTTCCATAAATAAAACCAAGTTAGTAGTAATACATAACAATGATAGCCCAAAGTGAAATCTTCATATAGAGTAACACTTTACAAAAGTTGCCATATAATATATTCACACACAACAAAACCAGGTTTAGCACTGTAACTCATATTGTCCAGAATAAATTCTACTTTTGTAAAAGTAAAACTGCATTCACCATGAAAAGGACTAAAGTGCTAAAATTTTAAAAATTTTCCATTCAACAAAACCAGGTTTAGCACTGTAACTCATATTGTCCAGAATAAATTCTACTTTTGTAAAACTAAAACTGCATTCACCATGAAAAGGACTAAAGTGCTAAAATTTTAAAAATTTTCCATGATCACTCAAAATGCTTAATATAGTTATATGGTTATTCCTAAGTCATATTCTAAAATAATAATTTTTCTTAAAAAAATCAAAAATGCCTCTTCCCCAGTTTGAAAAATTTTACTCTTACTGATTTAATGGGGAATGTTGCTTTGGTTATTAAATACAACAAAAGCACAAGAAACTAAGACGAAATACTTAAAGTTTCCTATTTAACACTATACTTTAAATGTCCAAACCTACACTAAAAGCTAAAATGTCTTGGCTCTCCTTAAAAACAGCAGCTAAGTCACATGAGAAAAGTCTTATTATGTAAACATCAAGAACTCTTAAAAGTGTCAAAACACAACAGCAAAACTTAATCCCAGTGCTTTAAAAAAAATCTATCCTAAATTAAAATTATACTGAAAAGCCTAATGTAAATATCTTCAGTTTTTTTTAGGAAGCTTGAAAAGCACTTATGGACAAGTGCACTCAAGATCTGACAACCTGTAACTTACCCATGCTCATTTCATACATAAATAGACTGCTAGTTATTCATCAATTCTCTTCAGCCTTCAGAATAAATAACCACATGCCTAAGCCCTATTACATATTTTTTTCTTTTTTTTTTTCCTTTTTTGTCTTTTTTCATGACCGGCAATGGACCGCAACCCTCAGTGTCGCGCCCGTACCGGACCGGGACCGGCAACGGGATCGCAACCCTCGGTGTTGCTCCCACACCTCGCTCAGCCAGTGAGTGGCCGGTCTGTATGTGGGATCCGAACCCTCAGCGGGAGCGCCACCGCACTCCCAAGCGGCGCACTGTAGCAGTGTGCCACCGGGCCGGCCCTACATATTTTTTTCATTAAAAAAGAATTGAAGAAGGATCAAGAAGTCATTAAAGTCCATTCCTCCACTTCCAAGAAAGACAACACAGAAACCACCTGTAGAAGGGGGCAGTCTAAGAAGCTATCTGCTCTGTGCCCACATTTACATTAATGAAGTCAATAATCCATACGCAAATAAAAGCAAAACCACTCTGATAACACAAATCTTGTAATGTATAAAAACAGTACACAAGCTCTATCTAGCTTCATCTGTAAATAGTCTAAAATTTGTTATTGGCACTTAAAGATTTCATGAAATTCACAGGACCGGCAACGGATCGCAACCCTCAGTGTCGCACCTGTACTGGACCGGGACCGGCAACGGGATCGCAACCCTCGGTGTTGCTCCCACACCTCGCTCAGCCAGTGAGTGGCCGGTCTGTATGTGGGATCCGAACCCTCAGCGGGAGCGCCACCGCACTCCCAAGCGGCGCACTGTAGCAGTGTGCCACCGGGCCGGCCCTACATATTTTTTTCATTAAAAAAGAATTGAAGAAGGATCAAGAAGTCATTAAAGTCCATTCCTCCACTTCCAAGAAAGACAACACAGAAACCACCTGTAGAAGGGGGCAGTCTAAGAAGCTATCTGCTCTGTGCCCACATTTACATTAATGAAGTCAATAATCCATACGCAAATAAAAGCAAAACCACTCTGATAACACAAATCTTGTAATGTATAAAAACAGTACACAAGCTCTATCTAGCTTCATCTGTAAATAGTCTAAAATTTGTTATTGGCACTTAAAGATTTCATGAAATTCACAGGGCATAAGAAATAACTCACTGGGTATAAAACACAATGCTATAACACATAAAATCATTATATACCCATCTAACAGAGCTCATAAATCTTGCAATAATGGTGACATGACTAAAATAACTAACATTCAGACTGGGAAGGCCTAAAGGAATGGACTACAGAGCCTGGGAGACCTTTACAAAAACAAAAGGGTAAAGGGGAGACAATGCAAAATTATTATCACTGTTTAGCTTCTCAGTTCTAAAAACTGATACAACTCAAAGTGAAAACTGCAAGGTTGTTTAGGTTGATAAATATATAATTCCTACAACCTGATTAGAAAGCCCTTACGTGGACTTCAAAATTCCAGGGAATAATGAAAGCAGTCAATTTCCCTAAAGCCTGGCAAAAGTCACAGACAAAATTAAAGCATATGAGCAAAAAGCTCCTTGAGATGATAATTCTAAATTAAGCTAATGTTCTCTACCACCGCAGAGGACAAAAATCTTACCTATATTGTCTACCTTTGTATCCCCCAAGCCTAGCACATAGTAGGCACTCATAGTTACAGAATGAACATATATCTTCATATACCCAAATGTATGAGTGAAGATCTACAAACTTCTCAAGATAAGTCTACATACGAAAGTTTAAAAAAACACCTTGACAGGTGGTTTTGCTTCAAGTTTAGTTATTTACCATAGAATATATTCACTTACAGTATAACATTTTAGATAACTGACTTTTCTCAAGTTTTATTTATTAGAATAGAAACCCATTATGTTTAAAGAACATTCAGCCACTCATGCTTATCTGATCTGCTCTAGGATTAATATTGGCTCTAAAAAGTAAACTGGTACTATGGTTGGTTTAACTAGTTAAACAATCATGACATCTTATAGTTGAAACTGTAGGACTGATTCTTCAGAGGAAACAATCCCATAATGATTTACCCTCCATAACTTGAGGATGCAATCCTACACTCCAGCCAGCTAGAGAGCTACTAGACAGTGCTTATGTGAGCCACTGTGAGCCACTGTTCACATGGGTCCAGCCATGGAATGTGGAGGATTTGGCATAAATCCATCATCAACCCCTTACTGATGGCAAGTCAATTCTCTCATCTCCAAATGTGAAGAACAATTTTTAAACTGCCAATACTAAAAACCAGAGAATGCTTCCCTAGTACAGGCAGCCTAAATGCAATCTAAGCATGTATTTTTAAACATTTGTTTTATAATTTACTACTGGGCTATATAAAACTCTCAGAAAAACACATGCTATAAAGTAATGAATAAGCATCACTCAAAAATTTATGAATGATTAAAAAAATTTATGAATGATTTAAAGAAAAAAAACATTATCTATCAAGACTATATTTGTCTATGTCAAACTTCAGACCTGACAAAAGGGACTGCATGCGTAAGACGACAAGTAATATAACCTCTGAAAGACAAAAGGCCAAACGAAATACCGTGGAACTAGCCCACAAATATGTTTCTCTGATTAGAAGTGGAATTAAACCAAGGACTAAAATAATCTGCTTTCTAGAAACTCACCAATTATTTTCATCAGCTCAACTTTCCAGTTCCCATTTAATGTGCAATCCACATCTCAAAACATCTTTTTCCTGCTCTTGCTACTGTTCTGTTTACTGTGAAAAGGTGCAAATAATTCCAGCATGTATCCTCTTCAAAATTTGGTTTAGAGGGCCTATATTCTGTTTCCAGTCAACATACATACAAACAAACTTACCAATCTTCAACAACCTTCAGTTAATAAAAACGTACTTCATCCTGAATGTGGGTACTTTTAATCACTACGTATGAGGGAAATGAGCCATCTATCAGTATCACATATGAAAAATGCAACATATGGATGGATGATCTCTGACTTTAGAACAATAAATGATACAATCATGATTTTAGAATCTAATGTTATTTTTAAATGTAATTCAGTAGTTAAACACTGTGTTCTAAAGGGCATTTATAGCAATACATCAAATAACATTATGTAAATTCACAATATTCAATATCTAACTGATGTATAATTATTGCTAAGACTACCCTGTGTTTTTTACCAGGTATGTTTATAATTGTATCTGTCACAATTTTTAGATTGTATTGGAACAGCTATTCATAAAAATTTCTTCAGTGCTCACACAAAAGGAAGACTTATAAAACCGCACATAAATGTTCTGCATTTGAACAGTTAAGAAGCTATAACTTGAATGCATTCAGACCTGTAGCAGGCTGTTGCTGCTGTGTAAGTGTGGCAGCCATGGCAACGGCTGCTGCATTTGGCATCGTGCTGAATGGAGTGGGCCCAGTAGTAACTCTGGGTGCATTCTGCCACTTCTTGGCTTCTGCTCGCCTGGCTTCAAACACATCTACAGCATCTCCCAAGAACATTTTCCTGTACCCAAGGTACTGTTCTTTGAGCACCTAAAGGAATTAAAAATAAATAAATAAATAAAAATAAAAAATTTTCATGAAAATCTGACAAAAATTCCTTCTTTAAAATGAAACTATTTTAAAGCTTTTGTTTAGAGTTTTAAATCTATTAAAGCAAAAGGTCTAAAGTGTGATATCATTTCTAAAATGATGCAATTTAAATAGTTAATTTCTTTAAAAAATTGTTGACATGCATCAGATTAAAATAAAAATGAAAATACTGGTTATCTTGATTAAACTCTATTCTACACAGTTAATAATTTATTTAGACTCAGGTTTGGCTGCTTTGAATTTTTAAAGATTTTCTGAACCACATATAACTCTAAGAAAGGATTTCTTTATATTTGGTCGTAAAAGTGTACTTAGATTTAACATTTCACTTTAATAAATTTTAAAAACTAACATTACTATAAGAGGGTCAAAATATTCAGTAATAAGTTATTTTATTTACATTATTTAATAAACACAAATGGTTCCCTGTATTTAGAAGGAAGAAATGCAGCAAGTTTTTTTATGCAATGGTCAATAAACATTTAAAACACATAAGACTAAGGCAGCGCAAAATGATTTTGCTACTAAGAATGTTTATTTTCTGTAGTGCTGTTTACAGTGGTAAAGAAATAGAAACAACCTACATATCCAAAAAGAGAGGATGGGTTAAACAAACTATGTATAAACATATAACTCCTACATAACTACTAAAAATGATGTTGAGGAAATATGTGTCTGTTAATGTGCGCAGTTATTCACAATATACTGTTGAAAAAAATTAAAACGACAGATTGTACAGGACACTTGGATCTTTTTAACTATGTATAAACATATAACTCCTACATAACTACTAAAAATGATGTTGAGGAAATATGTGTGTGTTAATGTGCGCAGTTATTCACAATATACTGTTGAAAAAAATTAAAACGACAGATTGTACAGGACACTTGGATCTTTTTAAAAGAATAGATACTATCAATGTTTGTGTCTGGGTATGATTATGGATTATAGAATTTTTCATCTTTTCACTTATGTGAGGATATTTCAAAAAGTTTGTGGAAAAATAGAATTAAAAGATAACATGAATCTTCCTATGAACTTTTTGAAGTACCTTCATATGTAGTTTTAGCTGTTTCTGTAACAAGCGTGGACACATTCTTCCCCAAATGAACAAATACTTGGGTCTAGATATCCAGATAGATGAACTAGCAATGAAAACTTACCTTTACATTTTCATGAATAGATTGAAGTTGTGCAGCTAAAGCTACAAACGTTTGATAAATTTTCTGCATAGCCATTGACAGATCTACAAAAGAAAATGACATCATACATACATACATATATATATGTATATGTATATATATATATAAACAATCAATTTCATTTTCTATTATTTGAGTCCAATTTTTGGTATAGCTAATATAGAAAAAAAAACTCTGCCCAATATTCCAATGGCTAAGAAGACTCAGTAGATAGAGAAAAAAATATCTACATTAGTAATCTGGGGAGCAGGGAGAAGGGCCCTAAGATTTCTGCCTTTGTCAACACAGTAAAAATTTATAATAAAACATTTTATATTAACAGGGAATAAAGATCTAATCAGGGCCTTTTAAGGAAGTCTTCTTAAAGCAGCTTAAAACAACTACTAGTAGTTATTTAGAATACCTACTAGACCACCACAATTTAATATCTTCCCTAACAATAAAATAATGGTGCTATAAAAAAATTATCACCATAAGCATATTACCTTGAGGGGTTATATGTGAATTATTTGCTTGAGTGGCAAGATGATTTTCTAGTTCTTCAATCTGCTGTCTGTACTGCTGAAGCTGTACCTCAAATTGCTGAACCAAGATTCTGAAATAGCTATAAAACACATTTAAAAAGTCACATCGAATTCTTTAAAACATTATTTTCTTTATGTTCAAAATACCAAATAAATAACCCCATCTGAGTAGGCTTTTGAATTAATTTGAGGATTAATGCATCTTTAAGTGGCACACATATTAACATTCAAACAAAACCCCAAATGTTATAAATTATCAAGTTTTGATTATTCTAGTCACGAGTGATAAATCAAAATTAAGGAATAGTCTACAAAATAACTTAATAGTTTTCAAAAGTATCAAGGTCATCCAAAACACTGAGGGTTGCGATCCGTTGCCGGACACGGAAAAAGACAAAAAGACAAAAAAAAAAAAAGAAATACAAGGAAATTCTTTGTACTACTATTTTTGCAAGTTTTCTGTAAATCTAAAATAAGTTTAAAATAAAAAGTTCAACTGTCAAACAGGTTTTATAACCAAATACTTACAGTTCTTCAATTAATAAAATTTATAATTTGAGAACACTATAGTATACTACAGAAAGCACATGTAATTACTGTACTATTCTGGTAAATTTAATCACAGAGAATACTAGATAAATTAAAAAAGGACCTTGAATAGCATGCAAAGGAATCCAAAAATTTTTCTCTAAGAAATGGATAACTGTGAAAGCTTTTTGTAAAATTAGTTCTAATGGCAGTAAGGGATAAAATGTAGTCTAGAGGAAGTCCTGTGAGGAAGCACATACCACAATAATCTGAATAAGATAATAGGAATGTCCTTATCATTGTTAATTTTCTGATTTTTGACAACTGTACTGTGGTTATGTAAGAGAAAAGCCTTATTTTCAAGAAATACACACTAAAGTACGTAAGCATAATGTTGAAATAAACTCTTCAGGGAAAAAAATGTATATATATTCATACATATAGAGAGTGAGGAAATAAACAAATAAGGTAAAAATGTTAATGTGTAGGGAATCTGGATGAAAGGATACAGGAAATTTTTTTCTACTCTTGAAACTTTTCTGTAAGTCTGAAACTGTATCATAATAACTTAAAAGAAAAAAAGGTGATGAACCACGAATCAAACAGATCTCCACTGCTCACAACTCACCTCTGCATGCCTCAGGCTTCTCATCCCTAAAACTGGAATAACAACAGCTATGGAGGTTTTGTGAAAAGTATGAAGTAAGGTATGAACAGTGCTGAGCACACAGCTTGGCAAATAGTAAGCACTTGGTAAATATGAGCTATTATTATCTTTTTCTTTTTTAAACTCAACACAAAAGAGGATAAGCAATTATTTTTATCAACATGGGAGGATATAAAAACAGAAAAGATACATATCACACGTATCACATACATATCACATGTATCACATATATAAGGATATATAAGTACAAGCTGACTGATGTGATTACAGGTGGGTTTTTTTCTTATGAACATTTTCTAATTTTTCTTCCTGAAGATGTATTACCTATGTAAATAAATAAAAGCTATACATATAAGTAAAAGGGTTAAGCTACACGAATTGTTTAAGGATTGAAGTATCACAAAATTATTTTTAATTCAAAAATCCCAATGGGTAAAAATTAAGTTTTCACTACCTATGAAATTTAAGAAAGTGGAATATACCCTTTATATATAATGTAAGTAACATTTACATTAAGTTTAGTAACTGCATAATAGGGGTTATAAGCTCAGACCTTAGCCTTTGCTTAACATTCAGTAAAATGGGGATAATAAAATACCTTCTTAGGGTTATTATAAGAAATAAATTTTAAAATTTATGTAAAGTGTTTATTAACTAAACCTTTCCACAGAGTAAAACTAAAACTTCTTACTATTCTGCTCTCTTAAAGTGAGAAACGTTTGTTTAAAAATATCCAGTAACTTACTCAGCAGGAGCTGTATTTTCATGTTGAAGTCCAGGTGGGGTTTTCTGGGTTCTTAAAGCTATTTCAGCATTCTTTAACTCCTAATATACCAGAGGTTTAAAAAAAATTTAAAAAGCCTGTTAAGAGTTAGGCTAAAAATGCCAACTACTTCTGAAATGTCAAACAATGTCATTATTGGAGGTTCATGCTAATAAAGATATTATGGATGAGGCTGCTTGACTACAAGTTACTAAAACCTCATTCAAGAAAAGGCAAACTACTTTTAAGAAATTTTATGATAAAATTATAATGAGCTACCCACCTCATAGGGCTGTTATGAAAACTAAACTGGTTTAATAGATATAAATTGCTTAAAATACTATGTTGTACATAGTAAACACTCAATTAAAAAGTAGTAACTATGATTATTATAGCAATTTAAAAGTATGTGGACTATCTGTTTTCTTATAGCATGTCTATATCAAACTGTTTTAAAAAGCCCTATTCCCATTTTGGAAAAAAACAAAATAAAAACCCTACGGTAAAATAGCTGTAAGGTAGTATACCTGAGCAGTTTCTATTTTCAATTTGTCAATACTGAGAGTGTTTCTCTGTAATCCACTGGCAGCCAATGAGAGAAGCTGCTTCAGAGCTTTAATATCTTCTTGTACTTTAAGCATTGCTTTTGAAGACATTCTACTAATTTCTTCTTGGACCTGTTTTTGTTCCTTCACAAATTTCCTAAAAAAATAAATAAAACTGAGGTTTTAAAAAATATAGCTTTGATTGTCTCTAGAAAAAAAGTACATTTAAAACAGGATGGTCATGTTTACTTAGATTTAGTCATTCAACAACGTATTTTTACCTCAAAACATCATGTTGTATATGATAAATATATACAATTTTATCTATCAATTTATAAAAAAGTAAAATTAAAAATAAAATAGGTTGGTCAGAGTCCAAGAGTTTTAAGAAAAAAACAAAAACAACAACAACAAAAAACTAAAAATAAGAGCAAAGCACTG